AATTTTATTTTTTTTACATTATTAATTTAATAAATCATTTTATCAGCGACTTTATATCAATAGATGTTGAATTCGTTCAATGTTTAGGTTATTCCGGAGGGCACATATATCGAAAAATTCCTTGTCAAGTTGCGTTAGTGGACTATAATGGAACAATACTATTAAATCAACATATAATTCCAAATGTTCCAAATGGAGATATGAGTCTTTTGCAAGATGGACCCCGTAAGGATGAGGTATTAAAAGCAATAAATGAAACGCGAGGTAATTTCCACCTAAAAAATTGTTATGAATTATTTATATGATTGCATATTCTAAATATATCTAATATTTAGCGCGTAATTTTACGGATGTAAGAATGACGGTGATGAATATGACACAAGGCAAAATACTTATTGGTTATGAATTAATATCTGATTTAACTGTAGATATTCTTTAAATTTTATTAATACATATGCATATGTAAATTTCAATTAATGTTTTCTTTATTATAATTATTAAGCTCTTAGATATAAAACCCCCTTTAAACGAGTTGCGTGACCTTTCCCTTTACAAAAAGTTTAATAAAGAAGTTGATAAAGACGGCATTCCAACCAATCGATTTCCATTAAAAGTACTAGCGCAAGAATACTTAAATAAAACTATTCAGACCCACTCCAAACTCCATGATCCAGTAAAAATAATTTACTATTTTTAATAAAGTTATATGTTAAATACATGCTTTATATTAATAAGTACATTATTAGGTTGATGATGCGATAGTAATTATGGAACTGTTTTTATTACACCAAGATCATTGGGATGAAATGCTGATGACAAAAGTTCCTAAAAGCTGGTCACCGATTCCATGCGTATATCCCACTGCACATCCTAATATATCACAATACAATTCTACTGAGTAATTGTTTTAATTTATTTTTATGTATTTATTTTACATGTTTATATTAAAAGTTTAATGTTAATAGATAATTTTATTAGTAAATATGTGGCAATCAATTTCATGAAGCTTTTTACAAAGGATACCTCCGGACAAAAACAGAATTTTATTATTCGAGTATCTTTAGTGAATTATCATGGAAATGCTATACTAGATGAAATTATTCGTCAACCTTTTAATTTCACTGAATTTAGATCAAACATTACTGGAGTTACACCAGAAATATATGCCACTAAGGGTAAGTATCTCAAACAAAAATAAAGATAAAAATTAAATAACATAAATTATTATACTCTAATTATCATGGGGTCATTGCCTTGAAAATCACTGATATTTCAATATTCAAATATTTAGCACGTAATTTTACGGATGTACAGGCAGCAGTGGCGTCTAAGATTGAGAATAAGATTATTGTTGGTTATGATTTTTTGCGTCCGTTTAAGGTAGATATTTCCTAATTTCTATTTAGTCATAAAGTAAATGGAGGTATACAGGTGGTAATTTGGCGCATCAGAAATAACTCATGAAAACAAGATTTTTTACTAGGAAAACCGAACTTCATCCACTAAGTAAAGTTATTGGAAATGCCGACATTTAATTTTTGATGCGATTTGATTAATTTTCCATTAATCGATTTTCACATTATTTGACTTAGGGCAGAATATTTTAAAGCATAATGTGAAAATTGATTAATGAAAAAGTAATTAAATCGCATCAAATTTGAAGAAATCTAAAAAGCAGTATTTTCAATAACTTAGTGAATGAAGTTCTATTTGCTTGTGTAAAATGATTATTTGCTAAAGAAAATTACCGTATGGGCGGATTCGATAACATTTGTGGTTTGCTATTTTTTTGGTTAGGCTGAGTTGAATAATCAATAGCGACGATCCTCCACATTAAACAAATATAAGAATTACTATCAAAGTCGTTTTCTTTTTATGATTAATTTAAAGTACATTTGATGAAGTATGATTCTTATAAATATTGTAAATAATTATTTCTGAAAACTTTTATTCATAACTATTCTTAACTGCGCAATTAT